AAGGTATTGACTAGCACACTGAAGCCTTTATACATACAAGCTGCCAGAAAACAAAAGATTTTTTTTTTCTTTTGTGCATTTAAGAATAGCTCCCGATATCTATGAAGAATCTTCTTGCTTCTAACAACAGTAACCAGTAGCATAGCTGAAGACCGACCTAGAAATAGAGAACTTTTTCTTCCTAAGCTAACTACCTCCCTTGGGTCATCCAATGCATTTCACATTCCCCCAGTCTTTGAAGCTGTTATCTGTTCAAGGAAAGGTTGAGAATTTATTTTTGTGACTTTGTACAGTGCTGAGCTGCCAGGGATGGGGCAGCCACAGCTTCTCTGGGCAACCTGTGCCAGCGCCTCAGCACCCTCACACGGAAGAACTTCTGCCTAAGAGCTCATCTCAGTCTCCCCTCTTGCAGTGAGAAGTCCATCTCCTCAGGGCTGCTCTCAATCCCGTCTCCCCCAGCCTGTATTTGTGCTTGGGATTGCCCCGACCCAGGGGCAGGACCTTGCACTTGGCCTTGTCTGGGGAGGCTCCCTCAAATATGGTAGAGCTCTTCAAGGAGCTGTGAGGCTTTCTGGGGAGGCACTGATCTCCTCCCCGTTTGCAGCAGAGGTAGCTTAGCCCCACTTCACTTTCATTGCAGCTGAAACTTTGGGTTTCTAGCTATTTCATGGCTGACAGAATGACATGGGGATCTCCTCAATGGCTTGATAGCAAACAGCTGTGAACCTCTCCACTCCTGTGAAACATCAGCAAATAGTGTGTCTAAATCCATCATCTCTCTGACAGACAGGGGTGCTGCAACCTCAACACCTTTGAGCAGGTTACAGGGAACGCTGTCTTCAAGAATCTTTGGTGAAATCCCATTGTCACAACCATGAAACTGAATAGGAAGCTTCAGATGTAATGCGTGGCAAGTGCTTGCACTAAAGAGGAATTCTGAGCAGATTTTAAGGGGAGAAGCCCCTCATTATAAAGGTCAGCCTGCCTAGAGAGGTTGTGCCAGAAAGTGGAGTTGAGGTTCCAAGCTGCAAGGGGACACTTTGGATGTGAAATCTGGATAACAGCTACTACTGTATTCATGGATAAATCTTCTCAAGTACAGGCTAAGTGTATGGGAATGGAATCTTTCAACAGGTTTCCAGTTGTATGGTACTGTCATAAAAAAATCACAGTGGAACTCTTCATAGGCAAAGATTTTCCAACCAGTTGGGTCAGAAATTAGGGACACAGGGATGCATTTAGGGACACAAAGGGAAAACTGCCCATTTTTGGCCTACTACATTGGAAGAGATTTGGGGTCAAACCCAAACCTGATGTAATAATCGGGGACTACTGGATCCTGGGGCTGCTCTGTAGACACTGACTGTGCTTTAATGGTTGTTAGAGGTAACTAAGTCAGAACTTTGTGAGGACCTCTGAAGGTTCTTTTTCTGGCTGGCTGTGGCATGTGTGTGACTACCAACAAACAGCATGATCCTTTTGTGCATAAGCACTTAGTCTTGAGGTCAGATTTGCCCACCTCGATCAGTGCCAGGACTCAGACCAGGCATAGGGTCAGGTTAAGCCCAAGCCTCACAGGTCTCCAGAACGCCATAGTCTGAGCATAACTTGGAAGCTCGAGCTCAGTCTGGCAGATTGGGCACAGATAGCTGCTAGGTTTATTGGGAGATATTCTGACTTCAGAATATGCTGACATTTACTTACCTTACAAGTGTTTTAAAACATCGGTCTTGGAGAACAGAGATTAGCACCTGGCTTTATGCCTCCTGCTTGACCTTCTAAAGTCATTTAATGTAATTTGGTTCAATTTAGCATGTGATGTGGGGTACTACCTCCTTTATGCCAACAAACACAAGGCAGAGAGGGTTCGAGATGTTACGTTCAAGAGTCTTTCCAGTCTCCTTCTCTCTGTGCTGGAACAGGACGTCCTGTAAAATAAATTCTACCAGGTTTTTGCTCCTTCTTGTCACAGCTCTTTTTCTCCCAGGTTTTTGTGATATTAAGGGATACTCATCTTTGAAAAGCTAAAGAAAGAGATGAGTGATGTCTTCTCACGCTGCAGAGGCTTAGGGCTTTTTCGATATGCCACTGTTGAGTATTAGCGCTGGGGAACCAGGGCAGCAGCGTTAGGAATCTCCAGAAGCAAGCGCTGACATCCATCCAAGCTGACCAAGTGCTCTCAAGTCCTGTACATCTCAAAGTAAGGCATTTCTCCAGCACCACCTTGTGTTAAGGAGTGGCCACTGCAAGGCTCTTTTCAGAAGGACTCCCGTGCGGGATTTCCATTACCCTGCAGGTCTCTAGTGTGCTGTTGGGGACATCATGATGATTTAGTATTGAGACAATAAACTCTGTGTGCTCCTTGTAAAAAAAGTCCATTTACAAACACCCTGATCTCCAGTTCCTCATCTGGAAAGCAGGCACGGCTCCTACAAGGAGCAGAAAGACAGCCAGGAGTTGTGATCAGTGGAGATTTTATGTGTGCATGTGATCCAGATTTGGAAAGATTGCTTCATCTGATAGCTGAAAAATCCACTCTCACTCTTGGAACACAAAGTGAATTGGAAAATCAAGATTTACTCCTGCATGCTATGTTAATTTCCTGCTAAAATTTGTTATATTTGGAAATATTCCAAAGATCTTCTGCTGCCTAAATAATACAGTGACACAGTGTCACTGTTTTGGAGTTGTTTATTTGCTTGTGTTTGTATATGGCTGGTTTTCCATTGTACTTCTGAAGCTCATTCTATATCCTGCATGGTAAACAAGTGGGAGCATTTCTGGCAGCACACTGTCAGTGTGCACAGGGGGAAGAGACCACGCAAGAAGTATTTTTGGCTTTCTTCCTCAGTACTCCTAGAGATGAGAGCTACCGTAGCACATCTTGCAACTGTTATGCTGAGCTTTTTGCAGTATGTTTGTATATTTGGGTTATTATTGTATACATATATAGGGGTTGTTCAGCTTGGAGAAGAGAAGGCTTCTTAAGGGGAGACCTTAAAGCAGCTTCCAGTGCCTAAATGGGCTGACAGGAAAGCTGGAGAGGGGCTTTGGACAAGGGCCTGTAGGGACAGGACAAGAGGGAATGGCTTTAATCTGCCAGAGGGGACATTGAGATGAGCTCTTAGGCAGAAGTTCTTCCCTGTGAGGGTGCTGAGGCGCTGGCACAGGTTGCCCAGAGAAGCTGTGGCTGCCCCATCCCTGGCAGTCCTCAAGGATATTCTTGGCAGTGGTCAAGGGCAGGTGGTACTCAGGAGCTTGGAGCAACCTGGTCTAGTGGAAGGTGTCCCTGCCCGTAGCAGGGGGTTGGAACTGGATGAGTTTTAAGGTCCCTCCCAACCCAAACCAGTCTGGGATTCTGTGATTCTGTATTTATTTAAATTAGTACATGTATGTGTTTACTTTCCAAAGAAAGTATGTAAGTGGAATAGAGGTTGTCCTTTTAATGTTAAGTGAGAAGAGTTGGTCAGAGTACAGACAAGTACAGACCTCTGCTGTGTCCGTGGCCTGTCCTGTTCCATCCAGGAGCTGTGTTCACCTGTGGCAGGCTGCAGTGTGTGTATGTGTCACGGGGTGCTCCTGGGGATGAGGCTGCTTTGGAAATCATTCTTGCTTGCACAAGACATTCCTTGGGCAGAAGAGAGCAGCAGCTTGCCCTTTCCTTTGAGCAGGGTGTCTGCTTGGTGGGTGTTGGGGAGTTGTGGAGCAGCAATGGATGGTGAGACACACATTGCTGGGAGAAGATGGGGAGGCTCTCAGCCCAGTGAATGTTTAGCACAGGGCCCCAGAACTGTCTCTTTCTACTTGAACTGAGGTGGTCTGACAGCTGCTACACCCAGGTAGACCATTTCTCCTTCTCCCTTCTTTGCATTTCAAGTGCAGTTCTCTGCTCCAGCAAAGATTTGCCACACCAGAATCTGTAATCACAGGGCTAGGAAATAATAGGAAGAGAAAACTCATCTGCACTCATGTCTCAGTGGATCTGTGACCCCAGGTCTGTGAGATCAGTGGCCAGTGCCATCCCCCCTGTGCCTCCCTCCCCTGCTCCTCCCTCCCCTGCTCCACACTCCTTCCTCCGCCACTTTAGATACCACCTCCTGACAGGCAGCTGAAGAACAGTGCATTCATTTGTCTCTAAGGTGGGAGGCTGTAATGAAGAGCTGAGTAACTCAGAGGCCTCAAATTAAGCAGAATGATTCAGGGCACACTGCGTGTATTTCAGAACCAATATGTCTGGAACCTGAATGGGGAGGGCAAAGGGGGCACTTCAGCACTCTGGCTGGTTTTTAAGCTGACAAACCTTGCACGAAGGATGGTTGAAAGGGCTCAGGAGGATGGGGGGAGGAAGGGAGTAGCAGCTCCAGTTTAGAATGAGCCAAATGCTTGTGATTTGTGTATAAAGAGCAGCCAGAGCCCCAGTCTGGCCATCTTACTTCTTGCCCTGGCCAGTCCTGAAGGCACTGTGCTGCTGGCCATCAGGCTGGTCCTCCAGGTGAAAGCTGGGGAAGGCATGCATCCTTTGCTGGGGCATCACTCATGATCCAAGCAGCTGTACAGTTCCAAAAACAAAGCAGGATACGAGGAATAATTTTAGCATTTGGAATGAATGTAAACTGAAGGAACATGCCAAAGCAGTGAGAGGTGAAAGAAGTGACTAAAAGTGAGCAGAGATTCCTGGGCCCTTAACAAGAAACAGTGGAACACTGTGAAAATAGTGAAACAACCACTGGGTGCAGGAAAAAAGTGATCTAAATTACATCCACATCCAAATTTATTCCCCACAGTCAACATGGTGCTTTGTGTTGCTGCACCACTGCTGTGCCTTCTTAACCAGCCTGATCCAGAGGTGTCATTGCACAAATCACCATCATTCCTTTCTTTGTAGGTTGTGTGGTAATAAAAGTAACTTCCCAACATAACTGAGCGTCATTTAGTACTTTTCTTCTGAGTCATATAAAGAGATCCATGTGAATGTTTCCTCCCCTACAAGCCTAATGTGGATGTTAACTTTGAAACCTAATTAAATGCTAAATCTTGTGTTAGCTACATAATGGCGGTCACCCCTGGCAAGACAGTGGAGAGAAGGTAGAAGTAAAGACCCTGAGAAAGGAATTTGGAAGTAATAAAGAAAAAAAAGGATCAAGTGGAAGAAAAAGAAAAGAGAGGGGGAAAAGGGACAGAAACTGCAGGAGGAACACAGCTTTTGTTACACCAAGCTCACATCAGATTGGGGTTTGTGCAGCAGTTACACTGTTTTGGGTGGTTGTGCTGTGCACACAACTGCCTTGACTCCTAGCCTCCTGGAGACTCGGAGCAGTGTGTGATCCCAGGGATGTATCCCAAAGCACAATGTGCAATCAGGATTGCCTTTTGGCTTCCTTGCAAGAGCGAGGCATGTGGGTTTACAGAATGGAAATGAGAGGTTGGGTTGTCTGCATTAGATGCCTCGGTCTGGAAACAATTAACTGCCTTAATTCTGTTAACATCTAAGAGAAAGTTAACATCTGATACTCTGTAATGGTAATATGTTGACACTGTCTCTGGTTGCACAACCTTAACTTCTCACTGCATGTGTTGCATGGAGTTTGCATGCTGGCCAATCCGCTGTATGGCAACCGCAAGCACATTCCCATGGTGTTTCTGCAGGGTACTCAAGTTTTGGCCTTTGTCTTTCTTATGGAGCAAACTCTCAACTTGTGAGCAGCTGGGACATCGCCTCCAGCACCTCCAGGTCATCAGCAGCAACAAGAAGGCTCAAACCCAGACTCAGTTCATGAGGTATGGAGTACACAGAAAGTCATGCACGTCTTTTCTCTAGCCCTGTTCCCTCTGGGGAAGCCAAACCATGGATCCTGTGCCCACACAGCACTACAGAGTCCTCACTGCACCAGGTCATGCCACCTTCCTTGCTCTAGTCCCTGCTAGTTTCAGATCTTTACTTTGCACTCTGTTTACATTAATTATACCAGATATATGCCTTTTTCCCTAGCGTGGGAAAGGCAACTAGGATATTGGCCACAGAAAGCTTATTCTGCACCTGTATTGCTTTGCTATGGGTACCCCCACAGGCTCAGTGCTTTCACATGTTCTGCTGTTAACTAAAAACTGCAATCAGTATTCAGTGGCACTTCCCATAAGATTAGGAAGTTCAAATGCTGCCCTCTTCCACCCACTCTTTTGGGGAATCTTTCTTGCAGTTAACTGCAGAGCAGAGACTCCAACAACAGTAGCAAAGTCAGTGTAACAGAAAAAGCAAACACGCAGCACAGTGAGGAACAGGGAGAGGCAGAGATCTGAGGCAGATACTGAATGCCCTACAGCCATTACACAGCGAGGCTTGTTCTGTGAGGTTCTCTGATCCTGCAGTAATAGACTCCCAGGGAACACTTAAAATAGATCAGCAGATTTGAAGGCCAAAAGTAACTGTGATTGTTTAAGCTGATTTCCCAAATAACTTACATCATGGAATTCATTCAGAACCTCTTAGCAGCAAAGGGGCAGTTCAGGAACCCTCCTGGGTACATGCATGTACCCAGAAACACTATTTATTACATGAACTAGTGGTTCCACTAAAGTATATCTCTTAGAAGGCCATCGGCTCTCCATGTGCATACTCCAAGTGCTGGTGGCCTTAGTACTGGTAAATCCCCCGCCATGTGTATGTATACACACACTTTCTGTGACATTCTTCTTTGTAGCTTCAATCCCACTCCTTGCTGCCCTTACTAAAAAAGGGTTTGTGGCAGGCTCTGAGTGGCTCCGTGCTCAGCCACTGAAGTAGCAGCACACCACTGAAAGTCAAAAGATCTCTACACTGTGCCCCTTCAGTAAAGTGTCCTGGTGTCCCTGGGATGTTAAAGATACTGTGTAAGTGAAGCCAACAGTTGTCATTGAAACATGAAACACTCTCCTTCGTTTTTCTCTAACACCCTTTCTCTTTATCCTGCATGCAGGAAAGCCAACATCTTTGTCTCTCTGCTGATTGATGTGGCTCTGGGGATACTACTGATGTCCTGGCTGTACAGAAAGAACCGAATTGGTCACCTTGCTGACACTCTCATCCCAGTGGCTGATGTAAGTCTGGCCAAAGCCATTTCTCTTTGACCTGCTGTGGGTACTGGCCACCTCTTGCTGCCTGGAGTAGTGGTCAGGAGGCCTTACTCCCAAGGGTTTCAGAGAGAGTCCTGTTTGAAGTCATGCAAATCATGCCTCCACAAGAACAGTAAAATCTTCAAATCAAGCCTGCTGGGGCTGCTCAGAAGGAACACAGCCCTGCTTTGCATGTGGAGTGAATAGTAATTAGATGTTTAACCAGGGCTGCTCCAGCTTCTAAAGTAACAATTAGGGCTTGGCCAGAGCTCTGCAGCTGCAGGTTGGGTGCTTATCGAGCCAGAACACTTTTATTCTGGGGTCGACAAGCAGTGTCCTCAAGTTCTTGCTATATGGAGTGTTGGGGGGTGGAATAAAGCTGTAACCTGTGTTGAATCTGATAAGCTGCTGAAAAGTAAAACTTGATAAGCAGTGCAGCTGTGCTCATGGAAATGAATTTTATGGGGAAATCCAAAGGCGTGAGCTAGTTGGGATACAAACACCTGAAATCCTGTCTCAGATCTCTGGTGTGCAGATGGTGAAGTAGGAAAACCTGCCGTGTCCTGTGATTTTCTCAACCATAACTCCTCTTGCCCAGTAAGATCCCTCCATGTCAGCATAAGTTCATGAAAAACAAGTCTGACTCACACTAGCCTGCTTTTCTGGTGGTTCTTTTTAGGTGCAGTACTCCGATATATCTGTTTAGTGGCAGTAAGGAACACATAATGTACTTCAGAGGCTGGGCACCAGACCACTAATTTGAAGTCAGCTCCATTTTAAGTGCTTCTGTGTCTTGGGAATACATGTGCAGCCTAGTGTTGAGAGCTGTCATGTGGCTGCACAACCTAATCCTTTCTCTGCCCACTTTCCTTTCATTTCTGGGAGAGAAGGTGGATCTTTCCATTGGTTCCTTCCTAGCAGCTGGACAAGGTTCTCTCCTTGCTCTTTTTCCAGCTTCTTGGTTGTGAGGGATTTTATTCTGATTAGAGAATTCCGAGCAGCAATTTATTTTTCCTACTTATGCTATTGTTTTTTTGGGAAGAGCTCACATTTCCCTTGATGATGAGCTGCTTGTCTTAACCTTTTAATTGTACAAGCCATAGGTCTGATCTTTCTCATACATGCTGTGCTTTCACAAAGTATGTATTGAGTGACCAGCACAGCTGCGGGTTACAACTATTGCTCCTTTTATTACCTTTCATGGTCAAGCTTCTAAGGATTGCATGTTTCAAGGATTGCTGCTATTCAGCAGCAGCGGTGGGGTAGAAAGGACCATAATTTTTGCAATACACTTACTCTTGTATTCCCCTACAGATATTTCAGCAGAAGAATCATAGAATTATAGAATCATAGAATAGTTAGGGTTGGAAAGGACCTTAAGATCATCTAGCTCCAACCCCCCTGCCATGAGCAGGGACACCACACACTAAACTATGTCACCCAAGGCTCTGTCCAGCCTGGCCTTGAACGCCTCCAGGGTTGGAGCATTCATACCTTCCTTGGGCAACCTATTCCAGGGCCTCACCACCCTCACTGTGAAGAACTTCTTCCTTATATCTAACCTAATCTTCCCCTGTTTAAGTTTAAAGCCATTACCCCTTGTCCTGCCACTACACTAATGAAGAGTCCCTCCCCAGCATCCTTGTAGGCCTCCTTCAGATATTGGAAGGCTGCTATGAGGTCTCCATGCAGCTTCTCTTCTCCAGGCTGAACAGCCCCAACTTTCTCAGCCTGTCTTCATACGGGAGGTGCTCCAGTCCTCTTATTATCCTCGTGGCCCTCCTCTGGACTTGCTCCAACAGCTCCATGTCCTTTTTATGTTGAGGACACCAGAACTGGACACAATACTCCAAGTGAGGTCTCACAAGAGCAGAGTAGAGGGGCAGGATCACCTCCTTTGACCTGCTGGTCATGCTTCTTTTGATACAGCCCAGGATACAGTTGGCTTTCTGGGCTGCAAGCGCACACTGCCTGCTCATGTCGAGTTTCTCATCAACCACCACCCCCAAGTCCTTCTCTGCAGTCTGAGTTCTCTAGAGCTCTCCCTGTGGGATTACTGTAAGTGCCCAGCTTTCAGAAATCTGATTTCTTAACAAGTCTGTGAGGAAGTGGCTTTTGGCCATGTTCCTGTTTGCACAGGTGGCTCTAGGAGGGGTTCCATCTGCCCACTGTCTCTGGCAGATGGATGCTCTCCACGCTCAAGGTGTGTCCAATCCCAGCACCTCTCCTGGACAGGCTTTCTTGTGGGAGCTGCTTTTTCAGGAATTTAGCTCATCTGTCACTCAACTCACACATCATAGCGTCAGTTATTTTCACCATGTCTCCTACACGTGCAGACTTCATTCCCTTGCTATCTCCAGGAGCTGTTTACTTACTTTCCTGGAAGTGCTAACTCCTCCCTGGTTGTCAGTCGGTGCCTTTCTGCTTCTCCAAGCTTATCAGTTCAGGCCACTTACAACTTCTAACTTCCCAGCCTTAATTTTTTCTTTCAAGATTATGGACATAAAATCATTTGGAGTCCTTTTACTGCCTTTAGTGGGCATTGATTTATATGCATTATGTGCAAACCTTAAAAATGCAGATCTGAGTGATCCCAAAATATCCCAGTGACTTCAGCATGTGGTGTGCAAGCCAGCACCACTTCTTTTCCAGGATGACAGCAAAATCTCCCCTTAGCCATTCAGCAGTAGGTTTCCTCTTCGCTGCCGAGTGTCCATCTGTTATGCATTATTCCCATCACTTGGGCTCTCTCAAGTGCTTATGTGTTGCCAAGTTCAGTAACACAAACGTTCCCATGTGTGGAATGAGTTACTTTTCCATCCCTAATGCTCCTTCATATTCTGCTTTTGATACGTGCCCCAGATCAGATGGTGGCATTGACCTTACAGCTCTGTATCTGTTAGTAAATAGAACATTATGTATATTATAAGAAGATTATTATATACGATAAAGTTATGAAACATAGCCTTATTTTAACCTTATTGGCTTGATTGATTTTAGTATTGACAAACCAAGCTTTTATAACGTATAACCTCACTGGTTTGATTGATTAACATGGCCAGAATGGAATGGTAGTTGTGTGGGTACTGGATGCAGTACTTTTTTTTTTTTCCTAGCAGACATCTCTCTGGAAGGAAGCAGATGCAGGTAGGTTATTTTGGCTCTCAACAACTGCCAGGGTCACAAGCTGAGCCTGCTGACGTGAGGATCAAGCCGTGTTCCCTACCTAGCATTCGTCAGCCGCTGGTACAATGGTTCTCAAATCAGCACTTAGCAATTGTTCCTGATACACAAGACACTGTTGAGTGCAGCTCCCACTTTCACAGCTTGATGAGCTGTGCTGAGCTGACTGTAATAACAAGTTGCTTTTGTCAGTAAATGAGGCAGATGTGATTCAGAGCCACCTAGGGAGTCACTGGTGAGGGGCTGTGTGCAGCAGGAAGGACTGATTTTTGGAGCAGGTTTTCAAATCCAAGAATGGAAAATGTGAATAATCTTCTCTCTGTACATACCCTCCTCCTTCCTCTCAATCCCACCAGGCTTTCCAATGGTTGTTCTTGGTTTTGCCTTCCACAAGACAGTCTTCCTTCAAACATACCTGATTCATAGTGCTACAATTGTCTGTTTTCAGAAGAACTGCTTATTAAAAAAATATCGTTCTGGAGTGGGGCTTTGGACAAGGGCCTGTAGGGACAGGCCAAGGGGGAACGGCTTTAACCTGCCAGAGGGGAGATTGAGGTGAGCTCTTAGGCAGAAGTTCTTCCCTGTGAGGATGCTGAGGTGCTGGCACAGGTTGCCCAGAGAAGCTGTGGCTGCCCCATCCCTGGCAGTGTTCAAGGCCAGGTTGGACACAGGGGCTTGGAGCAACCTGCTCTAGTGGAAGGTGTCCCTGCCTGTGGCAGGAGGTTGGGATTGGATGAGCCTTAAGGTCCTTCCAATCCAACCCAGTCTGGATTCTGTGATTCTATAATCTTCTTCACTCTTTTATCCTTGTTGATGTCTCTTTCTCTTAAGCTGAATCTCTGAAACAGTTAAATACTTGTCACAGATCCTGTCTCCAAGAATGTTACTGGGGCTTAGAGGTAATTTGATGTAGTAAGTTCCTGTTCCTACCTATATCCCACTTACAGTGCACTGTGTCCTTCTCTGTCCATGTCCCATCAGCATTAGACCCTCTGCGTATGAAGGCTAGACAGAAGAGCGTGACAGTCATCTCATCTGTTAGCTTTAGTCTCCAGTTTGGTAATGTCCCTACACCCCTTTATGAAACTCTTCCAGTTCACTTCATCTTATTTATTGATACTGGCTCCATGGTCATGGCTGCAACAGGAGCACTGGGCTCCCAGTCACCTTTCCTGATTCTGCTTGCTATTGATCAGTCCTAAAATATCTGGCAAGAAAACAACCTGCAAGATTATGCCTTTGGACTCTGTTTTGAAGTGCCTTGCCCTAAACAAGAGCAAGCCAGGTCACCTTCCTGAGCTGTGTCCCTGTCAGGATTCAGTAGCACCTCTGGGACTGGCAGGTCCAGAAGTACTCAGTGCTGAAGCCCAGCCTTGCTGCTTTCAAGCATTTAAATATTTCATTAAAATCCCCAAATGCTTTTTCTAATTTACCAGTCCAACATTTTAAATATTAAAACCAGTCTATTTATAAAGCAGATCACACTTCTCAGCCACAGAGGTGAGATACAGAGGTTCAAATCAGTTCTGACTTGCAGTGAGAGAATGGGATAATGAATGGAGTCAAAAGGCAATCCTGTTGGAAACATTGAAGTGGAGCCCTTGATTTTCCCAATACACTAAAAGTAAATACTTACAAACTCATTTTGTAAGGATCTTGTTGGTTAATACATAAAATGGAATCATTCCTTGGAACTGATTTCCCCTTAGGGAAATTATCCATGTGAAGGGGAAAGTAGGCTACAGTGCATCAGCTTTAGGTAGCATGCCATGATTCTGCTACACGTGCACAGTGTGCATGCAATTCACTTGCATGGACTTGTGCACAAGTGGGATTTTCAGAGGTTGAAGCTTTTACTCACAATCCCTGTTCATGTGGGACAGTGAGAGAGGGCACTTCTCTCAGGTATGTTCCCCAACTGTTTGCTGGAGGTTCCCACTCTCAGCTACCTCAATGGTCAATGGACTGGTTAACGGACTTCGCCACTGGTTTCAGCTTAGGTGAGTAGGTCAGGTGCAAACTACGAAAGAGCAGAGCTACCACATCTTCTGCCCTGTCCACTGCAAGGGGGACCTCCAGCATAGGAGTGGGATGGAAAGAGAAAATCAGTAAATACATCAGCGTGGATTAAATCACCAGAAATTGTGAGTCTAAGCCCACAGTGATTTGCGGATGAGCTATTTTCATCCCCACATGAGGGATGGAGGTTTATAAGGAAAATAAGGCCTTTTTCTCAGTGATTCAGAGGGGTTCTTCCTTACTGGGATGCCGTGGGTATCTCTCCATCAAGAGACAAGGCAGTGGTAGGCAAGAGCAGTGCTATACAGCATGGTTAATCTTGCACAGGACAAAACAGGGTATTGAGAAAGTTTGTTTATGTACTAAATACATTTGTACAATTGTGTTTTCTACCCTGCTGTAAACATATAGAGGTTATGATAGGACAAGGGGGAATGGCTTTAATGTGCCAGAGGGGAGATTGAGGTGAGATCTTAGGCAGAAGTTCTTTCCTGTGAGGGTGGTGAGGCACTGGCACGGGTTGCCCAGAGAAGCTTTTAAAATCCTGACAGCCTGCCCCATAGATTACTTGCTCAGTTCTGACTTTTCAGTTGACCCTCTAAAGAACTCAATTTGTGCACCAGCGTTTGCCATCTACTTCAAGAACTCTCATTACACCAAGAAATCCTACTGGACACCTACCAGAGATGGCTATAAACTAACACTAGGTTCATGTTCCCAGCACTGAGACCATTTAAGCAGTTCAGCTTCCTCTCTGCTGTTATGTTTGGATTCAGTAAACAAGCAATAAAGGTGCATTTTTGATTTAACTAGTTGTCTGTAAAGCGGTTGGTTGTCCTTTTATTCCCATTGGCTTGAAGGGTGTAGTAAGAACACTGGGGGGACAGCATGTGCAGTGCATTTGACATATTCAGTGCAGCAGCAGTCTTTTATCTCAGTGCCTTCCTTCCACATGTTTGTAGCATGTAGCTGAAGAGCTCCAGGACCTGCTTCAGTGGCTAATGGGAGCTCCAGCTGGACTGAAAATGAACCGAGCTTTGGATCAGGTTTTGGGACGCTTCTTCCTTTACCACATCCATCTTTGGATAAGTAAGTGCAGTTGTTTAATTTTTCAGCCTCTCTTTTTATCTCTTCCCTCCCGAGTGTTTAATGTTTGCCTGGAGGTGAATAATGAATCAAAATGCACTACTGCAAGTACAGACTTGTCTATGAGTCTTCCTGCTGTGGAAATGCAAGCCAAGGTTGGATTCCCACACAAGGAAGTCATGCATATTAAGTATTGTATTGATGATTTACAAAGTAAAGCTTGTATTGATGCTTTGCAAGAAGTGCACCTCACAACAGAGCTTGCTTCTCTGTGCCATCAGTGGCAAGTGTCCAAGGAAGGCCTTCAGTCTTATGTAGGCTTTTGTGGTCTCTGCCATGTAAGAGGCAGCCAACAGGACTAGGATGAGAAGTGCACTCCCAGGATGCACACACCAACCTTTGTGCTGCCTTCAGCTTAGTGCAGTTTTCTTATTTCAAGTCCCTTCTTGAAATAACACACCCCTGTTCTCCTTGATAAGTCTCTTGATGAAGGAGTACATCATGATGGACATGTACGCCTTAGTTATTTTACTGATTTACATTGCTCACCAATCAAGTATGGTCTTGTTTCTATGACTTTGCTTCACTTCAGTGATGAAAGAGGCTGTGCCTCCGCTCTGGTTTACTTGACAAAAGCCATATGGGGTGGCTTGTGTGGGAATAGCAAAAGGAGGGGGATGGTTGCAGGAAATGTTGATGTGTGCAGTTAAAAATGTAATTAGGAACCTGGACACAAATCTAGTAAAGTAAATCACATGTGGAGCAAGGTGACTGCTCTGTTCAAGCTAAGCGTGTCCTCCCCTTCCTCACAGGGCTGCCCCCTGGTCACAAACCTGGGGTGAGAGGTTTTGTTGTCCCTCCTAAACAGAAGATGGACCTACAAGAAATATGAGGATGGACTTTTTAGAAGGGCACATACTGACAGGCCAAGGGGGAATGGCTCTAACCTGCCAGAGAGGAGATTGAGATGAGCTCTTAGGCAGAAGCTCTTCCCTGTGAGGGTGGTAAGGCCCTGGCACAGGTTGCCAAGAGAAGCTGTGGCTATGATCTAAAGGAGTTTGCCAGTTTTACTTCCACATTTTCATGGCTATGGTTTCTGGAGCAATGTTGTAGGGCAGGGGGAAGCAGTCTTTTGAGAGTGTTAACACAGTTGTCTCAGTCCAATACTGACATTCTGCAATGTCCACTAGGCTACATACACCTGATGTCCCCATTCATTGAGATGATCCTCTGGTATGTGGGTCTGTCGGCTTGTCTGGGCCTGACCGTGGCTCTCTGCATCCTCTCTGACATCATTGCGCTTCTGACCTTCCACATCTACTGCTTCTATGTCTACGGAGCCAGGTGAGGTGATGTCTCTGCTATATCTTGTATCTTATGTCTGGAGAGAAGGGCCACTGAAGGACTTGCTTGAGTGAGTCCAGAGGAGGCCACAGAGATGCTTCCAACCCGATCCAGTTTGTGGTTCTATGAAGACTCAGGCCATGTCTTTAATTTGTGGAGCATTCACTCCTGGTACAGTTCTCTTGAATTCAGAGTTTAGCCAGCAATTAATTTATCGAATTCTTTTATGCGTGCGGAAATGTGGCCACAGCAGTACAAGCAACCTTTCAGTTCTTCTGTGTTTAAATATTTATTTGCTGTGGTAGTGACCTGGAAAAATAAAACTACATGCCAGGCAGAGGACATGAAAACAGTTCACCCATTCCTTTGAGTCAACCTTGTAGCAGTTGCACCCTGTTTAGTAGTTTTCAGCGGAGCTGGAGGAGAGGAGGAGCAAAGGGGAAACCTTGTACTTCTGGAGAAGCTCCAAAGTCCCTGTCCCTGCCTTACTTCAGAGGCTCTTGTCTGCATCATGTAGCAGAGATGTCAGGTTTGGTGTCATTGTCTGATCCTCCTAATTGTACAGAGAGTGGAAATAGGAAAAGCATTTTCTCAGCTGATTGCTTTGCTCTTATGAGCAGCAGGGAGCTGGTCCACTCGCCTTGGCTGGTTGTTAGAGTACAGAGCAGCTATGTTATCTTGCATCAACCTGCCAAAGCTGTGCCTGGTGCCCGCTATGGGGAACCAGGAGGGGACAGCAGTCACCCACACCAACGCAGCCACCACAGCACCTTGTGTTCCTGCAGCTGCCAGAAGAATTTGCTGGTTCAGGTGCTAGTGAAGCCTGAAATCCCCTTCTGAAACAAAGCACACAGTGAAAGGAGAGCGGGCATGTGTGTGCAGGCAGCCAGAGGAGGTGGGGCAGGAGCTAAGGCAGGAGCACTGCTTGTTGTTATGTCAGGGTGAGTGGGGAGCGTCTGGCCTTAGAACGATGGGACAGGTGTGTACCAGCAACCTGGAGATGTCCTGTGCACTCTCCTACCTGAGGATTAGTGCACAGAGCAGTACCTGCCAGGCTGAGGGCACCCTGCCAGTTCCTTGAAGCAGTTGTTCCTCAAACCACATTCTTCTCTTGGATAAGACTCCTTGCCTCTGCTTTCACAATGCTGCCTTGAAATATGAGCAGCCTGTGCCTTAACTAGCCAGGTTAACCAGTCTGGCTTTAATAGCTCAGGCTTTCTCAGGCTCTGTTCTGCCCCACAGATTCATAGAATCAAACAGGTTGGAAAAGACCTTTAAGATCATCCATCTTCCCTCTGTCAGGTTAAAGCCATTCCCCCTTGGCCTGTCCCTGCAGGCCCTTGTCCAATGCCCCTCTCCAGGTTTCTCGTAGCCCCTTCAGGCCCTGGAAGCTGCTCTAAGGTCTCCCCTTAAGGAGCCTTCTCTTTTCCAGGCTGAACCAGCCCAGCTCTCTCAGCCTGTCTCCAGAGCAGGGGCGCTCCTGCCCTCGGAGCATCATTTAGCTGATCTTTTCCCACCCTTAGGGATGTTTGAAGCTGTGGTTTACTAAATAAGGTGCAGGGGCTCCAGTCCTCAGTGCCAAGGATGCAAAATTGAATTGGGTTGACTTAAGTGTGGGGTAAGACCTTGGCCAATCCTGCCGTGGCAGGAGTGTGAAGCAAAGGGAACAGGGCAGATCTAAACTGCAGAGACAGAGGTGAGCTCAGGGGAGTAAGCAGCTGCTTCCTTTGCTGCACGGAGGTGGTGGCATGGGGCTGGTGATTGCTGCTGCTTGTGGGGCCATGCTGGGGAGATCCTTGCTGCAGCCTGGAGCATGGCATGGCCATTGCCCTCCAGTAGACCAGAGCTGTCTGCAGTAGCCTGCTCTGCCCATCCCAGAGGCAGCAAAACACAGTTGACTGAGCCATTAGAATTTGATGTGCATCATTCTTGGCATGATTTCTTTTACTGCCCCAAGTTCTGCAGTGCTGGTAAGCGGGTGAGCATTGGGTGCAGTGATGAGAGCTGGTTTGTGTGGAAGCTCAGGAGCTCTCAGCTCTGATGTTCAGCATCTTCTCTTTGCTTAGGCTCTACTGCCTGAAGATTTATGGCCTGTCATCGCTCTGGCGCTTGTTCCGTGGGAAGAAGTGGAACGTCCTTCGGCAGCGGGTGGATTCCTGCTCCTATGACTTGGACCAGGTAGTGCTGCAGCACCAGGGACCTGCAGCAGGATACTGCCCATGGGCAGTACAATCCTATCCTACCTCGGGTAATGGTGAGACAGCAGCCACAGGAGGCTTTGTGATGGCCAGAACAAGCACATACCCCAGCACTCTGCATCTGTGGATCTTCATAGGATCCCAGACTGGTTTGGGTTGGAAGACACCTTAAAGCTCATCCAGTTCCATTTCCCTGCCAGGGGCAGGGACACCTTCCACTAGACCACGTTGCTCAAAGCCCCCGTGTCCAGCCTGGCCTTGAACACTGCCAGGGATGGGGCAGCCACAGCTTCTCTGGGGAACCTGGGCCAACGC